CCAGGTACAGCTGTTCCTAGGCCAGATATTTGTTTCTGAATCCTTGACTGTAGTTCTTGTGTCTTCCTAACCTTTTCCATGGCTTCATTCATCAATATTTCATCACGGGACAACTGAGGCTGAAAACAATAAAAATACATCATATAGGAGTTACAAAATCGATTACTGTAAATTCTGAAATTTATTCTTGCATTTATTATTGCGATTTTTGAAGAATGGACATAATGCTGTTCGGTGTGAGCCAATGCTCCGTGTTGAAGGCCGTACCTTGACCTATTATGGTTTACTTTTATAAATTGTAACTTGGATGGAGCGTTGTCTCATTGGCACTCATACCACATATTCCTATATCTATTAACAACAAAAAATAGTAGGTGGCATTTTATGGTATTGATTCCGAGAAATTTTCATTAAAGGACGATGGATGAGTGGATACAAATGTTTACATAGTATGCAGACATGATGAAGTCTATGTCATCCGAAAATTAACCCCAATCATTCAGATGAAGAAATAAAATTGGTCCAAAAGTTCATCATGTGAATGAGATTCTGTGAAAGTTTCAAACAACAGGAGCAGTTGTAGATTCAAAAGTGTGACAAAAGGATGAAGGAATGAACAGATGAACAGACTTCCCATCACTGTATAACCCTGCTTTAGAAAGCATGGGTCATTACAATCAAGATTTTGTGAAAGTTTCAAACAACTCTAACAAGTGGTTCAGGAGCAGTTGTGGATACAAAAATGGGACAGAAAGATGAAGGGACTGACTCCTCATCACTGTATAACCCAGCTTTAAAAAGCATAGGTTTTCAAAAACAACATTTCAGATGCATCGGATAGAAATCAACCTTATGCAAGTGCTTGTATACATGTATAAGACTTTGATTGATTTTGGAACATTCAAATAAGAAATAAATGAAGAATGTTGGTCTGTTTTGTAGGGTTCTTATATCAACACAATTTTCAAACAGTTACAGACTTTGCGTAGAAACTTTTCAACCCAAAATAGGTTAACAGATGTATTGATGTTCATTTGCATAAGATGGATTTCTATCCGACGCAGCTCTTTTTGTGTTATACAAACCATTTGTTGTTTAACTGGCATGGTGACAGCTAATTGGGCTTTTCTTTCTTCTATCATTTTTGTGGCATTCGTCATCATCTTCTTTATCTGTTAACAATAGATTGAGAAATATGTGAAACTGTTAACAATAGATTGAGAAATATGTGAAACTGTTAACAATAGATTGAGAAATATGTGAAACTGTTAACAATAGATTGAGAAAAACTGTTAACAATAGATTGAGAAATATGTGAAACTGTTAACAATAGATTGAGAAATATGTGAAACTGTTAACAATAGATTGAGAAAAACTGTTAACAATAGATTGAGAAATATGTGAAACTGTTAACAATAGATTGAGAAATATGTAAAACTCTGTTTATAGTATCAAGGACCTTATTAACAAAAACATGATGAAATTTACAGTAGATGTTCATTTCATAGATATTGGTATTTGATTGGCTGAAAACCAAATTCTAATTCTGTCATTTGTTTCCAATTTGTGTGAAAGCAATCCAAGAATACAATTATTGGCTTTGTCCAGTTAATTAATCAACATTATTTACTCTTCCTGAGCACCTGAGATCACCCCCGATTTTTGGTGTTGTTCATGTTGCTAAGTCTTTAGTTTTCTATGTTGTGTTTTGTGTACTGTTGTTTGTCTTTCTGTCCTTTTTCGTATTTTGCCATTTTGCCATGGCATTATCAGTTTGTTTGCGACTTATGAGTTTGAATATCCCTTTGGTATCTTTCGTGGCACTTTTAAACACTTTAATCATGTACTTGAGGCGAAGGGAAAACAATTGCAAGTTTTATTTATTTGAGTTATATATTTTTGTGAATATGAATAATCAATAGATATAACAAATTGCAGTTATTTCCCATAAACTATTTTAATCATTTTAAAAAGCCATTGGTGAATGGGCCCCTGCTAAATTTAAAACCCTGGCTTAAATATTTCTAAAATCACCAAATTCACTGGCTGACTGACTCCATAGGGAATTCATGTTGCCATAAAAATTGGTATAAGGGAGACAACTTGTGAAGGATGATATTTATTACCTGAACTGTTGTCAACTGGTATGGGTCATTGTTAAAGGCAGTACAGTGACCTATAGTTGCTTACTTTATTTAGTCCAGGTGGATAGTGTCTCATTGGCAATCATACCACATTTTCTTGTTTTTATTTTTATTTTTTGGTGTTTAATGCCACTTTCAGCACTTATGTGCTTATGTGCTATTTTGTAACAGATAGTTTTTAATGGTGGAGGAAGCTGGAGTGCCCGGAGAGAACTAGACCTTTGGTAGGAAAACTTTTAATCCTAGTCGATAAAGATTGGAGTAGAGAGCACCTGTCAGGTGCAGGATTAGAACTATCAACCTCAGTGTTGTGATAAAAGTTGTTACATCCCAGCTCCTTTGTTCTACCAGGGGTGATCTGAGCCGGATCACTCCTACCAGATCACCCTATCTTCAGTTTCTTTGTTCTGCATGCTTTCCTTTGTTTTGTAACATTCTGGCAGGAATGTCAAATCCACAATAAAACTTAGAAATATTTATACATAAAAGACCAACTATCAAAATTTAATGTAGAAAAAATCCAAGGTCTATGGAGAGGATCGAACTCAAGACCTTTAACATATAGACTCACGATTCATACCCCTACACCAGAACGACTGGTCATGAACTCAATGTTTATTTAACATATTTAAACATTGTGTCTGGGGCTCATAAAGGGTATATACTATATAGTAATATGTAAAGTATATTATAATGATTGTGTGGCGATCTTAACTAGATGTTATGAAGCTTAAATGTTTTTTTTTTATCTAATCTAGAACAGCTTGGATGTAAAATAGTTATCCCATTCGGACTTGGTGTGTCAGTGTAAGATCACCCTCTGGCCTCTGGCTGCGTCCTCATGGGATAACTATTACTTGCCTGATCTGTGGTCAGCTGACCAGGACTTGGGTTTGCTGCCTCTGTAGTATCATCTACAAACTTTCTTTTCTTCTTTGTTTCCTCTGAGTTACTTTCATTTTCCTATAAAATAAGATCATTATGAAACTTCTGAGCCAGATTTTTACTTACTATTCAACAAGGTAAAAGTGCACTGAATCCACAGGAAGTAATCAGAAGGTCACGGACTTTGTTTTTTGGTTTATTATCCAATCTGTTACCTAGTTGGAACTAAAAACCGTCACAAATTGATGTTTTACATCTTACAACACAATGATGTTACACTTATTTTTTACATTTGTGATATTTTACACACTTTTATTAAAGGTTTGCTCCTCTAGTTTTTGAATCTTTGCCAGATTTTCGGAATCCTCTGGTTTTATCCATGTAATGCCATTCAAAAATTTTGCCCACTAACCCCTACTTTTCTATTCATAATTTTTTTACATATAGTTTAAAAAGCCATATTTGAAAATCTTATAAAATCCTTGTTATTTTTCATAGTTTTTGAAACAAAAAAGCGTCCAATGTCAAAAGTATGAAAAATCTAGAGAGAATCATTTCCCGCCAAATTTTCAATGGCTTATATCTCGAAAACAAGCACACGGACCCTTCATTTTTTTCTGCTTTTTTAGTTTCTTTATTTATATACTATCAATTTATAACTTTATATAATTTACAGCTTTTAAAAGGCTTGTTATTTTGACACAGGGCAGCGAACATCCTTAAGGATGTATATTCTCTGACCCTAGTATTATTTTACATCATTAAAGCTGAAATAAATGTTTCAACAACAAATAGATTTTGAAGAAAAATCTATGGATTTGTAATTGGAATTTACATATCTGTTTCAAGCACCTCGTTTGACCGTTTTCAAGTCAACATCCAGTATTAGGAAAATGTGTTTTTGAAAACAAAAGTTCAGTATCTGACTGTGTTTTTTGCATTAATAAAGGCAGTTATTAGTATGTGGTAGAGCTATATTTTTATGTTTTACATTAATTAAGGTTTTATGTTATTAGAATATATACTTGATATATTCTATTTACATTTATTATAATTTGTAGTCTGCTAGTTTATTCAGGTAGAACATTACCTATTGATTAATTTCTTTTCTATTGGTCAGTATGATTTAGGCGGGAATCTTTTGTTTAATTTTTCTTTGTTTTGGACAGTTGGCTAAAGTCTTTATATGAAGTGGTAGCCATTTTCTTCAGCTTATTTGGAAGTTGTTATATCTTTACTTTTGAAATAGTCTAGGACTATCATATTCTTATATAAGGTATTACATATATTGTAAAGAATGTAAACTGATTCAAACCAATCAGTTGGTGAAGCAAAGACCTTTGCACTAAATGTGAGGGTCATTTTTCACTTAGAATATTTACATCAATTCTGATGAAATAAAAGAACCATAGACCCATACAACGTGTTTGTATTTTATTTGAATACAAGGGAAACACGACTACAAGTACACTGTTGTTGCACAACTTGAATGATACACTGTCAGAACATCAATTCTAATATGACGTCCTTCTTTCGCTTTGGAAACAAAGCCATGTTCTAATTACAATAAAACATGGGCTGCATGTGATTGACGTTACAATTGAAATTGCAACGTCAGTCGTATTTTGAATAACGCCGTAGGACGAAATGGATAGTTTTGTCAGTGTTGCTGGCTAGGAAATTAAATAAAATCATTCTAAAAGTAAGTTTACTTTTATATATTAATTTTTTGATCGTTCAACTGTTGATTTTCTATAACGTTTTTTGTTCATCAAATCAAAGTGGCTGTTTTTTAGATGTGTATTATAGGTCCGCTTCGAAGTACAAAAGTTCTAAATATTCCTATCAGAATCGAAATAATTCTATCATGCCATGCTTTATGCTAATTTTAACATGGGTAGGCATCATATTTGTCAATATCTTTATACCGAGCGTTAAAGCCTACCCATGTTAAAATGAGCATAAAACATGGCATGAAAGAATTATTTCTTAAATTTAAATCATTAGTCTGAAAATTAATATCGTATTTATGTCAATCATTGTAATGATGTCTGAATTATTACCATGATTGACTTTTGTTACTTAGTATGAAGGGATTAATATTTTTTGGAACCCCATCTGTTACCTTAAGTTATCTCCCTTCTAAGTGTTTATACTTAGCTTAGTTATCTCCCTTCAGTTTCCCTTTGTTTATACTTAGCTTAGTTATCTCCCTTCATTTTACCTTTGTTTATACTTAGCTTAGTTATCTCCCGTCATTTTACCTTTGTTTATACTTAGCTAAGTTATCTTCCTTCATTTTACCTTTGTTTAAACTTAGCCCAGTTATCTCCCTTAATTTTACCTTTGTTTATACTTAGCCCAGTTATCTCCCTTAATTTTACCTTTGTTTATACATAGCTAAGTTATCTCCCTTCATTTTACCTTTGTTTATACTTAGCTAAGTTATCTCCCTTCATTTTACCTGTGTTTATACCTAGCCCATTTATCTCCTTTCATTTTACCTTTGTTTATACCTAGCTTAGTTATCTCCCTTCATTTTACCTTTGTTTATACTTAGCTTACAAGCTCAGTTATCTCCCTTCATTTTACCTTTGTTTATACTTAGCTTACAAGCTCAGTTATCTCCCTTCATTTTACCTTTGTTTATACTTAGCTTACAAGCCCAGTTATCTCCCTTCATTTTACCTTTGTTTATACTTAGTTTACAAGCCCAGTTATCTCCCTTCATTTTACCTTTGTTTATACTTAGCCTACCTTCCTTTTTTGTCTTTTTCTACTACTAGCTTTGAATTCATCCCACACTCGGAACAGTTTATCTGCAAATTTTTCTGATTGTGAGTCGTCCAGAATTTCTGATAATTTCCCTAAAAATAACAACAGAATATTGATGCATATTATATATATATCTAGTTTTTATATGTCGTATTTTGTGTACTATTGTTTGTCTTTTGGTTTTTTTCTGGGATGGCGTTGTCACTTAAATTCAACTTATGAGTTTGAATGTCCCTTTGGTATCTTTGTCCTCTCTTATGTTTCCTTTTTTCTTTTCAAATATATATAGCTTTTTGAATTCATTCAAGTGAAATTATGCTGTTCTTCAGTACCAGGATGATATTATACAGTGGTCTCGTTAGCCCAAAATAGAAGGGCGCCGCGCCCTGGGTGCCCTCAGCCACGCCCTGGATGCCCTTTTCCGCGCCCTGGGTGCCTTCATCCGCGCCCTTCTGCCCTGACGCCTTTTTCCCAAAAAACCTTGTGCCGTTTTGGTAGAATTGCCTTTTGTTTCATCGATTTCTTATCACAAAGTTAAATTACATATATGACACCAGGTGATTGCCCCCAGGTTAATCATGTCATTACAATCAATTACAGTGGATAAGACTTCAAAGGTGTTAATAACTAGATAATTTAATTAAGACAATGTACCTTTTTGTCATAATTTTGATGAATGTGTCAGCGAGTGTTTTTAGCTTGGGTCGGCATTTTTGATCTCCAAGAAGAGTGTATAAATGAAGACTTTCATGACTTTAGAATAGAATTAAAGTCATCAAAATACAACTATGCCTTCACAGAAACGCCGTCCATCTCAACTTGTGAGCAACAATCAAACAGTAAACGTGTTAGAAATTAATTTTAGAGTTACTTCCCCTGTTTTAGCTTATTACAAATTTGTGCTCCTAAAATATTATCTAGTAATAAAAATAGGAATAAATTACAAATTGAATACAAAATTATATAAGAATGTTACCTTAAGGATATTAACTGTCTTTGAACATACCAAAAAAAATATATTGCAACTTATTTTGGATAATCATACTTTTAGCAATCCATGTTCTATACATTGTCAATTAAGAAATTTATAAGTTCAATTGTTGTGATGATGTTAAGCTGCAATCCTCCATAAATGGGTAGTGTGAAGTTAAACTATCATGACATCAACTTGATGAAGCTTTAATAAATAATTCCTGAACACAAACAATGAAAAAAAGTTTTGAGGGCCAAACTCTAGCTGAAAATTTTGAAATAAGACAACTCTGTCACATGTATGCTAAACTATGAGATGTTTAGTTTATGTTGTTTTTTTTTGGAAAGGGGGGGGGATGTGATGTATGAATGTGTATTGACATGTGTTATGAACATGTCGTATGAATTACATTTTCTAATGCAAATTTTATAGAATAAATAACAACAACTTATGCATCTTTATTAACAACATATACAGTAAAAAAAAGAATGTGAACTCGTGATACACACAGAAACGTAGACAAAAGAAATGAGCAGTGCCTTTTCCTTTCATAAAAAAGTGCCCTGCCCTCCACTGGCACCCTGCCCTTTTTGATTTCTAGCTGGAGCACTGTTATATTTACATAAAAACAGGTTATGTTTAAATTAATATCTTCTACCTCATCCGGTCTCTGGTGGTGAGTTGTCTCACTGACACCTTTATTATGCAGTCTTTGGAACGAAGAAAATTCTAAAATACAAGCATGGGAATAAAGTTATTCCAACTTATTTTGCAGCAGAGAATTTCCTACCATCAGAGTCAGTTAAGGTTTATGATTTGGAATGTGAATCTGATAGTTCCTTTGATGGTTAAATTTCACCCACTAAATGTCAAAGGAATTGGGTAACAATCACCTCTCCCCATTAAAGAATGATTGTAACATGGAATAAACCTTGGGTTGGGCAAAGCTTAACATATTTCACCCTGCCACATTCTGTAGGTGCCTGTCCCAAGTCAGGAGCCTGTAATTCAGTGGTTGTCATTTGTTGTTTGTTCATTATTTTGTACATATATTAGGCCGCTAGTTTTCTTGTTTGAAACATTTTACATTTGTCACTTTGGGGCCTTTTATACATTTGTAGCTGACTATGCAGTATGGGCTTTGCTCATTGTTGAAGGCCGTACGGTGACCTATAGTTGTTAATTTCTGTGTCATTGGGTCTCTTGTGGAGAGTTTTCTCATTCATGTCATTGGAAATCATACCACATCTTCTTTATTAGAAACAGAAGACCAATCTTTTCCAACACCCATTGTCGAGTCAACTTCAGAGATTCAAGAGTATTATGTTAATGCACTTGAGTTGCTAGGGTAAGGCTCAACCAAGCATAAAAAAATTAAGAAATCTGATTGGTTTGACGTTTAACCCTGGCTCAGTCGGGGTTGGGAAAGATGGGTTATCTCAAGAGGTTCAAGTAAACTTGGATGGATGAAACTCGAGAGTTTCAAGTGAATTTGGCCCTATATACTTACGAATAGCTTTGTCTCTTTCATAGCCTTTGTCTATACAATTCAATGCTGCTGTGACAAGACTTGGCTCTGAAAATCCCAGGAATTTGTTGACAGTCCCCTCCAACTGGGCTTTCATTTCATCCCATTCTCTACGTGATAAAGACATTTTTTTTCTCTGCAAAATAACAAAAAGACAATTACACTATGGCTCAAGTTAGTTGTGTCAGTCCCAACTTCCCACCATGGGTTATCTTTTCCTCCCTCCCCAACTTCCCACCATGGGTTATCTTTTCCTCCCTCCCCAACTTCCCACCATGGGTTATCTTTTCCTTCCTCCCCAACTTCCCACCATGGGTTATCTTTTCCTCCCTCAACAACAACCAATGATTATAATAAACAAAACATAAAAAGGGGTTGATTAAATGTATCAAAAACATGATAGTCTGTAGGAAATTCATATGTACAAAATACAATGAAATATATCATGTATATGCTATGTCTTATAATGTTTCCAGATGTACAGGTTTGACTTCATTCAGAGTAAGTATTGTGGTGTCATTTTAGCCAAAGGGTCCACATGAACCAAATTCTTGTCTCTTCGGCACTTGGTTAGATTGGCATCTGGTATAGTCAATTCCCCAACTAGTCAAATCTGAACATAGTTAACTTTTATTTTCAAATGGACGTCAAGTTACAAGAGACTTTGCGGCCTCGAGACAGAAGTATGCAAATTTTTATGCTAATTTCAGCAATAAACTTTCAGTAGCAACCATGATAACAATCCGAATACCCTCGGCCATTCAGCTTATTTGCATCGTAGAGGGTCACTGTCCTAGGTGGTAAAGGGGTTATTTTAGTGCAACGTGTTTTGCCATTTTTATTTCACATGCAGCCGTGAAAAAGGTTCGTTATTCACAGTGTTTCATGAAATCGGTAAAAAGATCAATGTGCAAGAAATTTTTAATTGTTTGTTCATCATGAAATGGCAATTTTATTTTGCATTCTTCCATGCAGATACCCCCCCTTTAGGCCCCTCATCGTAAATGAACGAGGTGTTAGATTATGTATTCATATCGACCCAGGGTTAATGCATTGAGACTTACTTTTTTCTCGTTGTCACGTGATAATTTTTCAAAATGAAAGTTTAAATACAGGAATTGATCATGTCGATGGGTCACTGTGAAAACTTTCCAAATATGACAAAATTAAGGGTGGCCGGTAGGTGAAACTTGCATAAATGAAGAGATAAATGAAAAAATGAACAAACTGAGGCCCGATTTATATGGATCTAAGGGCAGGCCATCAGTCGGCTCCAGAAGCAACAAAGTGGCGCATCCATTTTGGATGGACAAATATCCACTTTTTTATATGGGACGAGCTCTGACATCCCATGGCCCCAGCTTGTCTGGCAAAACAGCTCAGAGTAATCTGGGACTATCAGGGGTTTCATGATTTTTTTAGACTGGAGGTACCTTTGAGATTGTAGGGGGAACCAAACCTAAACGGCGAGGGGTCTGGGGGCCGCTTAAGGCTAGCCCTGGTAGGGGGACCAGGGGGCAAAGCTCATGGATTTTAGGGATTTCAGCCTTAATTTTTTACTTAAAAAAATAGGGTAAAGTCTGTAATATTTGCCTCAATTTGGGGTAAGTTAACATTGAATTGTTTTTTTTCTAGACATGCTAGAGTAATCATCTGAAAATACATTGCTTATAATTATTTTGTAATCAGTTATAAAATATGTATGACCATGGAAGTATTATATTGTCAATATAATACTTCCATGGTATGACCTATAATGCAGGGGTTTCATGTGAAATGTTGTTTAAATGTTTTGTTTGTTTTTATACTTTTATTAAATGTTTTGCATTTGTTCAATTTTATGAATGAAATTTCATAAGTTACATACGGTATATTATTAAAAAAAATTGATAATAAAACTTGTTGTAACTTTTTTTTATTGCTTTGTTATAATCATAACTGTGTCAATTGTTTGTGTAATTAATTTAACAGTGTCATGCAAACAATTAAACAACATGAACAATAAACATGCTCTCATGCAAAACAGCAAACAAACAATTTTGATATATGCTAAGTGATGTGAAGGTTGTTCTTGTCAGAAAAAAAAACATGTATTCAACTTTCACTTAACTTTAATATTTATAAAAAGGGGTGATTGTGAAAAAGGGGGGGGGGGGCAAATTAATCATAGGATTCTTGACTATAGTAAGTAAAAATGTTTTTTTTCACTTCTTCAGAGCCGTCTTTTTTTTTTAATTTAGAAGTCTTAAATCTCGTCAGATATTATATTTTGTAAACGTAACAGTTATGTTAGTTCAGATTGTTTCATGAATTCTTACACTAAAAAATTCAATAACAACATAGAACACATATCAAGAAAACGGAGATCAGTGACAACGTCCAACGGGAAACGAACTGATTTGATACGATTAACGATTTTCTGAATTTCATAGAATGTTCACCTTTAGTAAACCTTTTATTCATAAAATAATCT